TATTGATAGGGTAATTAAACGCATAGAATCCAGTGTTAGGCATCGCTTTAAGTTAACGGCTTTCATACTTCTCTCATTTGTCTGACGACGAGCTGTGAAGGGACCAAACTCAAAGATCTACACAATAAACGTTATTCTTTCCCGAAGAAATTTACTTGTTGACATAAATATGTATGAAGTGCAACCGCCAAAGACAAAGGAGGCCGGAATAACTGTGGCTGCCTTATTAGTGGCCATCAGCCAGTCATACCCAATCAAGCGCTCTAAAGTGAGCTCCGGAGTGAAAACGGAAAATGTCCCTTTACTAGATCGTGAACACCCTACTTTCATCATATTCCCGATCGCGATCGACAAAAGCAGCGAGCCCGAGGGGTTCAATGGTAGAATGTTGTACCCCATGACCAAAGTCCCAGGTTCGAATCTCGGGTTATCCACTGAGAATAATCAAGGAAACTATTAAGTGCATAATGTTGAGTTAGGTAACTGGGACATAACGTTTAGGGTCAGATACGTGTCGGTAGGCGTAACGACGGATCCGGTGTCCTTACCGCAAAAGAGTCGCCAAAGATCGAATCTTCTTCTCAATTACTTCCTGGAATTCGTATGTTCGTTTATATTAGCAACAAGATTCTATGGTCAGCCAGAGTGTGAGCCAAAGCGACACCTGCGTTTGATGATCCGGTCGATAGTGGCTTTTATGCTGCCATCTCAGTTTGAGAAGGGCCGTGAATTCTTGGGGCAATGCACTCTGATGACACATGTATTAACAGGCATATCGATTTAGATGCCAATTACAAAGTTCTCAGTCAGATGGAAGCATAGACAGCCACTATTGGCCGGATGATTACACGCAGGTGACGCTCCTTGGTTTGAATCTCGGATGATTCACAGATAGCAATCACGGAAATTATTTCGGAAATTATCAATCGAATGACATGCAGTTAAGTGGCTGTGACATGACTTTTAGGGTCAGATACGTGTCGGTAGATAGAGAACCGGTAGACTACAGCTAACGTCCATCAAGGACAGAGATGGGGTCCTCGTAGGGGCTGCAACACTCGTAACCTAACTGCACTATCAACTGTTAAGTAGTCACAAAAAGGACGAGTGAACAGATTTTAAAGTAAAGCGCTTACTCATTGGGATTCTTCTTCAGGAATACGCCAGCATAGGGAAGGTTGAATTTCATCTTGCGACGAATTAAGTCCATCAGACCCGGATCAGTGATCTGCGAAGAGTGGGAAGAAGCACACATTCAAACAAACTTTAAAGAGGGCGTGCAAGCTGCGACTTCAGGGTAAATATAGAGAGTGGAGGTTAACTCGAGTGATACGCTTCACGCAAATCCACCCATCTGTCAATGAGTAACGCAATTGATAACAATGGTCGACGGGCGCCCAACTATGGGTTACGGGACTCACTCGCCCTATTCTCACACGAGAGACCTGCAAGCAACCGCACAATGGCCGCGAGACGAGTGAGTCCCCGAACCGATTGACGAGCGCCAATATACCATTGTTGTCATTCCTG